TTTGCATGTCTGTGTTTATGCACTACTACACTTATGCCTGGTGTGCAATGGGAAGCATGTGTGAGGGTCATAGGTCAATGTTGAGTGTCCTCCTCAGTTGCTTTCCATTGTGTTTTTTGAGACAAGGTCTCTCACTGAAACTGGGATTGGTCAGTTTGATTGACTGGCTGGTCAACACACTCTCGGGATCTGTCTCCAGGATCCCACAGCCCACCACAGCCTGTGCTGGGTTCACAGTCACATCTCCTATGCTCAGCTTTTACATCGGTTAATACGGATTTGAACTCAAGTCTTCATGCTTGAGTGAGAAGTATTTTACTCACTGAGCCATCTCTCCTGCTCCTATAATATGTTCTTATAACCCAATTAATTCTTAAAATATCATCTACGATTAGCCTGTTTCCCCAGTTATATGATAATATAGGTATCTATACTTGACAACCTAAAAATAATTACATGTAATTACTTTATATATGTATGTACATATTTTGTTGGATTTTTTTGAGATGGGGTCTTTCTGTGTAGCCCTGGCTGTCTTGGAACTTGCTCTGTAGACCAGGCTGGCCTCAAACTCAGAGATCTATCTGTTCCCACCTCCCAAGTGCTAGAGGAAATGACTTCTCTAAAAACAATTTTTTTTTGTTTTATATTTGTTTCTGTTTTATTTATTTTGCAGGATGTATATCACACACATGGCTGGTGCCTGCAGAGGTCAAAATAAGGCATCAGATCTCTTGGAACTGGAGTTAAGGATGGCTATGAAACTAGGGGTGGGAGAATGCAAGGCTGTGATCCCAACACTCTGGGAGGCAGAAGCAGGTGGATCTCTGTGAGTTTGAGGCCACCCTGGTCTACAAAGTGAGTTTCAGGATAGTCAAGACTATACAGTGAAAGCCTGTCTCAAAAAACAAAACAAAACAAAAGAAAGCTCTGTACCACTAAAACTATGAAGAGGGTACAGGAACCTGCTTCTCTTCAAGAGTAGCAAGAGCTTGTAACCACTACTATCTCTTCAGCCCCAGGAACTGACTTTTTATTTGAGATAGGATCTTACTATGTAGCATTGGTTGACTTGGACTCGCTATGTAGACTAGACTGGCCTCAAACTCAAAGAGATCACCTGCTTCTGCCTCTGCGGTGCTAGGATTGAAAGTATATACCGCTAGCCAGGTGGTGGCAGTGCATGCCTTTAATCCCAGCACTCTGGAGGTAGAGTTAGGTGAATCTCTGTGAGGGAAGCCTGGTCTACAGAATGAGTTTCTAGACAGTCAAGGCTATATAGTGAAACCCTGTCTCAAAAAAAACAAAAAAAAAAGAGCTATACCACTAAGGCTGCTGGAACTAAGGCTGTGAGAGTTGACCAATTTTTTGTTTTTAAAGATTTATTTATTTAGATGAATGTTCTATCGGCATGTACACCTGCAGGTCAGAATAAGGCACCAGATCTCATTATAGATGGTTGTTAGCCACCATGTGGTTGCTGGGAATTGAACTCAGGACCTCTAGATGAGCAGACAGTGCTCTTAACACTGAGCCATTTCTTTAGCCCTGGAGTTGATTTCTTTAAAAAAAAAAAAAAGTTTTTAATTGTCTGCACAAGACTGCACCAGCCAAAAATGACAATACAGGTGGGGAAAAACTCGTGAGGCTTCCCTTCTTGATGGAGTTATGGGTAGCCAGTGGTTCCTGAGGAAGGGAGACTAAGTTTCTACAGGGGCAAGCTGCTGGTAGATTGTTCAAGACTAATTCTGCAGTCCTGAGCCCATGCACACACAGTTAACACTGATTTGACGATTATAGAAGTTATGAATTTGAGACGGGGAGGTGGTGGGAAGATAGAGTTGTGGGGGGAGAGGAAAGGATGGAAATGTAAAGTCAATGAATTTGTCAATGATCTTAACAAAAAAAATAAAGTTTAAGTTAAAAAAATAGGTTTTTTTTTAGACTAGTTCTAGATCTACAGAAAAACTGTGACAGTGTAGAGTTCCTCACCTTCACTTTCCCTTGTTAACTTTATTATGTGTGTATTCGTGACAACAAACTATGAAAAGTACATTATTGTAGCTCAGGTGGTAGAATGGTTAACTGGCATATGCAAAGCCCTGAGTTTGGTCAGCAGCAACATTTAAACAGCTGAATGCCTATAATGTCTGCCTTCAGGAGGTGGAGGCAGGAAGATCAGAAGTCAGAGGTCATTTTGGCCACATGACTAGTTTGAGGCCAGTCAGCCTCTGATACAGGAGACCCTCCTTCAATACAAAAGGACAACAAAATGTTACAGTTTGTACTGATTAGTTTTCTATTGGTGTTATAAAATACCACGACCAAGGCAGCTTACAAAAAAAAAAAAAAAAAAAAAAAAGGTTTATTTGAGCTTACGGTTCCAGAGGGATAGCAGTCCATCCGCACTGCAAGAAAGCTCAGGCATAGAGGCGAGCACAGCCTCTGGGGCATCAAGCTGAGTGCTCCTGTCCTGAACCTCTGGTCAGCAGCAGAGGGAGCAAACTAGAAATAGTTTAAAAGCTCCCCACCCCTTGCAGTGATACGATCAGGCCAGCAAGAGCACACCTCCCAAACCTGCTCCACCTGGGGATCAAGGGTTCAAACGCTCCAGACCGTGAAGAACACCTTCTCATTCAAACCACCACGCTACCTAAAGCCTGCGTTCAGTGAATGCTTCCTTGTCCTGGTCCCTGCTCCTACCCTGCAATCATTTATCGGTGTGCTTCGAGCTCATTACAGTTGTGGTTTTCTTTACTTTTGATGGCTTTGATATTTTTTGTTGTTTTTGGTTTTGTTTGCGGTGTGAGGAATCAAGCCTGGGGAGGTGCTCTACCACTGAACCGCACCGCAGCCCTCCCGACAGCTTTGAGGAATATTGTCTGATGTTTTTCTCATCATCAGACTGTTACGAGTTTTTGAGAGGACTGCAGAGCATTCTCACCCCCACATCACATCGAGGACAGGCAACATACTCCACTCTCGGTGTTAATCTTCATCACCGGGCCTAAAGAACTGGCGTTTCCCTTTATTTGGTTAATGCCTAGCTCAGCACTGGCTATGAATGCGCTTATATGCATCCTTGGTGGTTTCTAGATTAGATTATTAAGGGGATAGGTTGAGGAGGTAACTGTGGAAAATGAAATCCCAGGAGGAGAGGAGAAGAGGCTTTCAAGCTTCAGCTCTGCGGCCCCTGGCTTATAACTCTAGAAAAATTTCGTGGCAGTTTGTAAAACAGAGCAATGGTCAAATAGGGCTTTTAAGCACCGGTTGGGGAAAAGGTGCATGTGTTTTGTATAATGTAGGTCTGTCAGATCCCATTTAAAAAAGACAGCATCCTTTAGGCAGTTAACACAACATCAGTTAGTGGATTTTCAGCGACTGGCTGAGATGATGCAGAGCTAACATTAGTAGAATAAATGGCTAAGATTTCCAATTTGGGGGCCCGAGAGAGGGCTCAGTAGGAAAGGGCACTTCTGCCAAGCTGGGCATCCTGAGTTCAATCCCAGGGCCCACATGGGAAGAGAGAACCCACTCTTGCAAGCTGTCTTCTGTCTTCTTCCCACCAGTGATAGCCTGAAAGCTCCCCTCCAATAAGTAAATTTAATAATTTTTTTAAATTCCAAGTTTGACCTGCCTTCCTTTTGCCAAAGTCTGCCTGATTGTTTTCTGAGAGCGGAGATGACTTCTCCGATCTTCTGAAGTCAGAGCTCAACTTTTTGTTCGTTTCTTTGTTTTTGTTTCTTGAGACAGGGTTCTCTGTGCAGCCTTGAGTGTCCTGGACTCGCTTTGCAGACCAGGCTGGCCCGGAACTCACAGAGATCTGCCTGCCTGTGCCTCCCTGAGCGCTGGGATTGATTACAGGCATACGCCTGGCTAGAGATCAATTTTTTGAGATATCGACTTTGTATGCAGTCTAAGCTGGCTTCCAATTTCTGCCTCAACCTCCCAAACGCTGTAACTACAGGCACAGCTGACCTTCTGAGCTAAGAGTTCAACTGTGATGTGAACTAAATACTAGCAATTCCGGTGTTGTTTTCCCATATAGTATAAAAGAGAAACACCCCTCTGCGAAGGTACAATTTTTTTTTTTCTTTTTGGAAACAACTAAACTTTATTTTTGAAATGCACAGGAAGCATGGGACAATTACTCAAAGTTGGGAGTCTTCCTGTCTCCAAACTATCAGCCGGTTTGAATAAACACACTATAAAGTTTACGTTCTTGAGGGAGTATGCTCACTCGGAGTCTGACAACAGCAAATACACCCGCTGCCAACACAAGTGAAAACCAGTAACTTTGTATTGTTTGTTTAAACACATACGAAGGAAATATGCAGAGGGAACAAGCAGGGCCTTCTCTTGAGTATAACGGTACATGTTACATTCACTGAAGAGAACAGGGACACACAGAACAACACCTGCTACAAAGCAGAGAGCAACGGTGTCAAGAATCCCATCACTTGGCTTTAAGCCCAGTTCAGAAACGACGCAGGGCTTTGAAGTTTCCGAGCATCGTCGTGTCCTGGCTTTCTCGTCTGTAACACCGTTGTCGGGATATAAAACTAGGCGTGCAGAAACAACTTGTAAGGGCTACTATTGCTAATTCGGAGCGTGTCAGCCGTCAGTAACGGCGCATTAGCTGCCATTCACAGAGGGCAGCTTCTGGACTTTCCCTTCAGCTCAGTCGAGGCAAGAAGCAGCGGAGCGTTTTTAAAACGGGAGCACCGCAGTCTGGAATTCTTCCTCTCCGCGACAGCCGTAACCTTGGAAACCGAGCGGCTAACACATCTCAATCCCAGAGCTTCCCAAAGCTGGGGATCTCCTGCTGTCTTTCCATACCGTCCGGGCACCGCTGTTCCGTGGGTTAATGTTGACTGTTTCGTCTCTTCCACGTCGCTGGCACAAAGGAGACCAAGCAGAAAACCTTTGCCGTCAGACCCCTCTCAGGCCGCATCTCACCTACCTGCTGTTAACAGTCTCAGGATTCCTGAGAGACAGAACTGCCCACGGGCCGGCTTAGAGCAGGACCTCCCTGACCCCGGCCTCACAGGCATCCGCCAGGTTAACAGCAGCAGCCACACCCACCCAGGTACGCAGCGCGACCCCGCCGCCGCGCCCCAGCCTCCGGAGAACCCTCGCGAGACAGGACCGCAGGGGGACGAGAGGAAGCCCACTATCTCGCGAGAAGAGGGGGTGTCGGCGGCGGAAACCAGCAAATGTCCCCCTGGGCGCCCGGGTCCCAGCCGGTGGGCGGGGACGGAGGAAACCCGCCCCCTTCCGGCGCGCGTCCCCGCCCCCAGCCCTGAGGCGTCGGGGCCGCGGGTACCGGCGCCGGCTTCTCCCGGTTCCCCGCGGCGGGCGCCGACCCGGCTTCGGCTCTCGGAGGGCGCGCGGCAGGGGCGCCGAGGGGGCGGGGAGGACCCGCGACGCCCCGCCCCCTTCCGCGCTCCGGCGCCTAGCCCCGCCCCTGGGGGACGCGGGCCCGAGGCCGCTCGGATCGCAGGCCGGCGCCGTCCGCAGGTGTCGGCGGCGGCGGAGCCACCGGCCCCATGGTGGGTTTCGGGGCCAACCGGCGGGCCGGCCGCCTGCCCTCCTTCGTGCTGGTGGTGCTGCTGGTGGTCATCGTCGTCCTTGCCTTCAACTACTGGAGCATCTCCTCCCGCCACGTTCTGCTTCAGGAGGAGGTGGCCGAGCTGCAGGGCCAAGTCCAGCGCACCGAGGTGGCCCGTGGGCGCCTGGAGAAGCGCAATTCGGACCTCTTGCTCTTGGTGGACACGCATAAGAAGCAGATCGACCAGAAGGAGGCCGACTACGGCCGCCTGAGCAGCCGGCTGCAGGCCAGGGAGGGCCTGGGAAAGAGATGCGAGGATGACAAGGTAAGGTCGAGCCCTTTCCTCGGCCTTCCTGGAGTTTTTTTTTCTGTTCATCTCTGGGGTGAGGTGTTAGTGTTAGCCTGAGAGCGGTTGCTGTATGGCTTCAGCGTGGTAACCCTTGGAAACTCCCCAGCCCCACAGCATCCGTTTGCTGTGAGACTTTCCCTGTGGTATCAGCGCCACATTCTCCATTCGCTTCCAGGGACGACTGTAAGTTCTGGTTGTCTAGAGTGGCCTGTGTGTAGATGCCGCCTTTTCTTCTTTCTCCAAGCTCAGCTGCTGAGCTGGCAGTGGTAATCATCCGGCCTGTGTGGCCGCCTTACATTCACGGGCACACAGATCTGCAGGCTGCCAGGTATGGGTTATGGGCATTGTCTCATCCTCATTTCTGTGCAGACTGATCAATATTAATGTCTTTATTTTAGAATGGGGTCTCCTTCCCTTTTGATGCTCAACATAATATTTATAAACAGAATGACTTTTAAAATCTCTGTAAGTTGATGGTTTGCTAAGTAGATTTTTAAAAACAAATGATTTTTATGTTGAAAGTGTTGTGATGGATGAGTCAGGAACCGTGTACCGAGCCACGCTTTTGACTTGGGCGCCGTTAATCCTTTATCTTCTCAATTTGAATTGTTAATGAAATTAGCCAAAATGGTAGACTCTAAAAATAAGGTCTTAGGAACAGAATCTTATGTCTGCTATTACTGTTCTTGAAAGAAAAAACAAAACTATATGCTTAAGTAGATGTTATAAGGCTGGTGCTTAATGCACATAGAAAATAAAAAATTTTAAATTTAAAAATCGTAAAACGAAGACTGTCATCATGTCCTACTTAGAGGATTTGTTTTCACCATTTTGTTGACTTTTTTTTTTTTTTAAACTTAGGCAACTTCAGTTGGTATAGCAGAATTCTGAAAGTTTCTAGATAGGCAGTACAGTAGATGACCTTTTTTCTGGACTCTTATACTGTGTGTGTGTGTGTATGTGTATGTGCGCGTGTGTGCGTGTATGTATGTGTGCATGCACATGCCAAAGTACATTTGTGGAGATCATAGTACATTTGTGAGATCGGTTGGTAGACCAGACTGGCCTTGAACTTACAGGGAGACCTCTGTATCCCTGAATAATGGGATTACAGGCCCAGTTTGTTGGCTTTTTTTTTTTTTTTTTTTTTATCTGTCTACCACATGAGTATTTGGAGGCCAGAAAGCTTTGGATCCCCTGGGAGTTACAGGTGGTTTTGAGCCACCATGTGGGTGCTGGGAATTGAAGCCAGGTCCTCTGCAGAAGGCGCAGAGGAACAATAGGGATGACTTGATTCCTTTGGAAACCTCAACTCCTGCCCCCAGTGACACGCCTCCTTCAACAAGGCCACACCTCCTAATCCTTCCCAAATAGTTCTACTAATTTGGGACCAAGTATTCAAACATGAGCCTATCCGGACCATTCTTATTCAGGCTACCACATAGATATAGTAATCCCACCTCTGGATCATCAGAAAGGTGATGGTGATGTTTGTTTCTTCCAGCTCATTGTGCTGTTTTTGTCATTTCCAGGATGAGAATAAGAGAAGTGTTCTCATCACTGTCCAGGAAGTGAGAAACCAGGCCCATTTTTCTAGATTCTCTCAAATGTATTGTATTTTATTCTGTTCTGTAAAGGTTTTTAACTTGGAGGAGTGTATTAATTTTCCAGGGCAGCCATAATAGTACCACACACTAGGCGGAGAACTTTATTTCCGCCCAGCCCTGGAGGCTGAGCGTCCCAGGTCAAATTACTGGCAAGGGTTGATTTTCTCAGAGATCTCTCACCTTGGCTGCAGATGGCTGCCGTTATCCTGCTAGGGTGTTCTCTAGATGTATGCAACCCCAGGGCCTCATCTGCTTCCCAGCTCCTAGATATTTTGGGTTGCGGCCCCTCTCGTACATGTCTATTCTTTGAGTGAAACAAGCATCATCTTCGGGAGTTCACCCTTGTCTGCTTAGAAAAGATCGTCCCAGCTGAGCTTGTTGAACTTCCCCTCATAGGTGGATGAGAGGGTCACAAATCTTCACCCACGCGTCCAGCCACTCAGTAGTAGTTATTGTATGCAAGTCTGCACTAATTGCACAGGGTTTCAGGGAGGGACTAGAGTATTCAGACTGGTGAAGACTAGTGGAGAAGGGCTTCACCTGTGTGTCTGTGGAAAAGCTTTCATTCCTCCTGGTGGGGGCCCTTGGTTGGAAGGGGAGCACCCACACTCCTGTAAGTAACTAACCCATTACCTGTGTGCTATAAGGAAAAAACTCATTGGTTGCCCAGGGGTAGGTATTTTTTGTGTTTCCCCCAGGGATGCATTTTAGCAACAGTCCCACACTAATAGCCTGCTTTCAACTCCAAATATGGCTATATTCTGAGATCCCGGAGGTTGAAACTTCAACATAGCAGTTTGAGTAGCACAATTCACCCAGTATCTTGGGGGAAATCAATCATATACCAAATGTAGTCTCCCCCTCCTTCTTCATTGTATCTACTGTATTTCCCTTTTCTTTTTGTAGTAGACAAGAGTGTCACCATGTGCCAAGGCTGGCTCCAAGTGTTGGTATTTATTTATGTGTGTGCCCTCACTCAACTTGCGCGATTCTTGTTACTGCGTCCCCTGGACTGCAGTAAATGGTCTAGATCAAGTGCTTGGTTACGAAAAGGAACCGTTTGAGTGTAGACAGTGTCTTCCTCAAAGCTATTGTTCTTTTATAAATATGCATACTCAAAGGCCTAGTTTTGAAGCTAGATGTGGTGGCACAGGCCTGTAATCATAGCAGGGAAAGTAGAGGCCAGAGAGTCATGCGTTCAAGGCCAAACTGTGTTACCTAATGAAACCCTGTCTTGAGAAAGGAAAAGAAAAGAAAACAAAACAAAAAAACAGACCAAAAAACTAAACCATTCAGTTTTGCGGTTTGGAACTGAACAATAAATGACTTCTTTTTTTCAAAGCTGCATAGTCTTCACTGGGAATATATTAAAAAGAATATATAAAATATGTTTAACAATTATAAGTAGCTTTAGTTGAATGAAGACAAGATGGGAGTCAGAAAGGAGAATGGAGACCATATTATATTTTTCCTTCAAAAACTACCTTCACTGTGTGTACAACACAATGTATAGCTATATGATAGTCTCACACACAAATGTATGTATAGAAGCCTTGGCACACAACACACAGAAACCAGGTCTGGGCAGTAGGTGTGCCCTTTGCTACATATACTACATTGCACATCCAGTATCTGCATAATCAGGCAAATTGCTTCTCTGTGCCTTAGCTACCCTCACCTGTGAGAGGAAGATGGCAGTCTTTCTTACTCTTTGGAAGTTTAAATAAACAAATTCATTAAAATTCTTAGAATGGGGCTGGAGAAGTGGCTCATTGGTTAAGAGTACTAGCTGCTTTTCTAAAGAATCTGGGTTTGATTCCCAGAACCTGTGTGGTGCTCACAGCCATCTGTAACGCCAGTTCCACAGGATCTAAAGCCTTCTTCTGGCTTCCACAAGTGCCAGCACATACATGGTACCTGGGCACACATGCAGACAAAATTTTTAAACACTTAAAATAAAGATAGATAAATCTTCAAAAGAAAATCTTCAAATTGTGCCTTAGCTCTTGTTATTCACTTAAAGCTTCCTTATTTATGACTGCCTTTTCTCCAGGATGGAGCTCTATTTGTGTTCCTGCCCAAGATCCGGTTCTAGTACCAGCCTGCTGTTTGACTTTTCTTTTTTTCCTTCCCTATTTCCTGGCCCATTTTCAGTTAAATTTAGTTGGTTCTTCCCATAGTTGTCTTACCCGATTCTCTGGAGCTTGACTGTTTCTCTGTACTTTAAGGACCAGCCTTCCACGTAGTTCTAAAATACTTGAAGCATTTTAAGTATTTTAACTAGGTAGAAGGCTTTTCCTCTAGCTCACCTGCTGTAGTCTGGCTGCTTTATAACTGTAATTTAATTGCTAATTCATGTAACTCAAATCCTGCAAAAACCTTCCTTCTGAGCTTCTGTCCTACTAAATTAGCCCTGTACACAAGGTCCATGTAACCGTTACTAAAACAGGTTGGACTGTTGTGCTATCCCTTAAAGCAGTTCTCCCCATAAGCAAACTCGGGCCCCCTCAGACCTTCCTTCCGAGTGGCTGTATCAGTTACTTCATGAAATCAGAATGTTGTTTAATCTCTAAGTTCTTCTGTAGTGTCCCCAACCACCTGTATGCTCCATTAGCTCCTCATCCAGACTATTCCCGACTGGTGATTCTGCTCAGTGTTATCTCCATTTACCTTTTTGTGTCCTGATAGTTGATCTTGTGTCTTTCTTCCTCTTCCTTGTCTTATCGTTTCACTTCTTTTTTGTCTACCTCTCTTTAATCTGCCTTCTGATCCATGTCAATTCATTCTGTGGCTCCTAGGACTTCTAGTCTAGATCATGCTTTTCTTTTTTTATATATATAATTTACCTTTATTGTTTGAGCCATACTAGTTTGTTTGTTTAGCTAATAGCTTCCTGTGTGTTAACCTCTTCTCAATGTTGTACGTTCCTTGAGAACAGACTGCTTTAAATTCCCTGTGGGGTTTCTGATAGTGCTTACTACTGATTGAATGTTAAGAGTTTGTTTTTGTATCTCTCCCATATCTCCGTTCCAAATTAATTCTATTAAAGGTTTTAATCCCTGTTATTGTGTATGTTACTTTGGAAATGGGTGTAGCTTCTGACACTTCTAGGAGACACAATCTCACAGCAAGCTCCCTCCTGTTCTTTTAGCTTTTGAAATCTTTTAGGTCTCTCTTCTGCAATGATCCCTGAGCCTTAGGTGCAGGAATTGTGTTATAGATGTATCAGTTGGGACTAGGCCCCACAGCTCCACATTTTGATTGATTGTGTATTGTGTGTGTGTGTGTGTGCTTGCGCGTTGATTGTGTATTGTGTGTGTGTGTGTGTGCTTGCGCGTGTGTGTGTTTTATGATGTCCATCTGTTGGCA